TACGAAACATCCTCCTTCAGTACTAGCACACTAAAGTTGCTCAATTTTACTGTATTTTTTGCATAATTAATTACGTAAAAACCCGAATTTTCGCTTTTCCCCATTTTCTCGGAAACATTTGATTTTTCAGACTTTGAGATATTTTTTTCTAATATATGTCCCTAAAAGGGTTTTCCAGGAAAATTATCAGAATTTTCGATTTTTCAGCTTGGCCAGCGATTCTCGATATTTACAGTCATGGGCTCTTAATATTAATACTTCGGAAATTTCCCCATCTATTGTTTTTATCAGTTACACAGTAGGTTCTGTGTTTGAGGTGGCATTTGTTTTCCACCTCCAAGGACGTACCCCGGATACCGAGATGAGTGTTTATACCTCGTTTGGGGAATTTTAGCACAGTTTATAGGCATAACTTAATCATAACCTTTCAAGCTTTATTCTGGAGATTTAGGAACGTTTCTTAACTTGATGACCTGCACCCAGTTGACTTGTTAGCTCAATTGGTAGAGAGCTGCACTGGTATCGCAGAGGTCAGTGGTTCGAATCCCGTACAGGCCTGATTTTCACTATTACCGCTAGGATCGTGCACAAATACGTTTCCAGCCCTGTTCCCCCAAAGATCTTAACTTTGGCACGAGCCCTCGGGAAGGTATGACTCGTTATAAGTCTTCTCGTGGGCGGAAAAATGTACGTCCTGCTGGATGAATGCTTGCTCGCAGGCACGCGTATTCGTATTAAATGGTGGATTTCGCCACCGAAATCTCTGATCGGATTAGACATTTTCCATGCTTTACGATGTTCGAACAGGATAGTTGGCTGTATTCCAATGGGAAGAGGAAATGGAAATTTATACCAAACATTGTAGGTATCGAGAAAAAAAAAATAAAAATAAGGACCCCACAACTAAAACAAACTCATGTGTAAAATACTAAGGCACCCTTTCACATTTCATTTTTGTCCATCTTGAAAAAATGACGAACACAAAAACAACAACTTATTCAAGGAGACAGAAACAAACGCTGAAAAGCTAGATTATGAAATAACGAACTCCACACCAATGAGACATCTTTATTGCTTATTGTTGTCAGGAGTAGTTAAATTAAATTACAACAAGAATTTTATGGTGTTCAAATGACTGGGAAATATTCGCCCCCTTTTCATTTAGTACGGACAACGCTGAATCTTGCAGATTATTTCTCGTTGTATCCCTTTTTCAATTTGACAATTGTCATGCAAGATCATTCGGAGCGCTCTGATAAAAAAATTTGCTTGTCATCTGTTCGTAAGCTTTCCATTTCAGAAAAACTCCAGTACTTTGACACTTTTTCGAACAGCATTGCTGTATCCTTCATTAAATCGAAACCAAATAAGGCTTGGCTGTGATCGAACTGACTGCCAGCTGGTTTTGTCGTCTGGAAAAAAAAATCAACGAGAATGAAAATTGTCAGGCTTGAGTTGTCATAACATTATGCAAGTTAGAAAGAGTGCAAGCTTTCGATTTTAATTCCCAAAGCAGAATCAACCGTAGGTTTGCATACCTGTAACTTTAGGTTTAACCTTCACCGGGCGTCCAAAAAAGTCCAGCGCGGGCTGAAACATAAAGCCGAAGAGAAATTGAACAAAGCATAACCTGTTTCACTGCGACGAGATCATTTTGGTAAAAGTAAAAGGATTGTAACTGAACAAAGTCAGTCGATCGACCTGCTAGTCAGGTCAGTCTATGAATTCCACCTCTGTCCAACAACCAGGCGGTAAATCAAGATAATTTGGTTTTATCAACTGTGTTGATTGTCAACTAATCGTCAAAGTCAATCAGTGAGTCGGTCGATCCTTCAATTCCCTTCCTACGTTCATCTTTCCATTGTTTGTCAGAGAGGGAATTAACAAACTGAACTTTTTTTTCCTATCAAAAGTCTGTCAGCCCACCCGCAATGAATGTTCTGCAAAGATTCTTGTACCTTTGTCGCTCGTGGTTTCGCTTTACTGGTATCAAGAGACAAAACAACTACAGGCTTCTTTGGTTTTTCTTCTTCCTGCTTCTTGCAACCACTGGTATCATTGGGAGAACTATGTCGAGCGGAGAAAAAAATAAAATTATCTTCAGCTGTTGTTAAGTATACACTTGACAGATAATTTTCTTTAGTGATGAGCTAAAGCTGAATTACAAATAAAAAAATCTTTTGCTCTGAAACCCAGAGAAATGGAAGCGCAAATTTTACGTTAAATTAAACAAACAAAGCGGTAGTAGTAGTGGTGATCTCTTGTAGCAGTTTGACTACTGAAATGTGAAATGGGAGTATAACATTGATAAGGAATTATCGAAATTATTTATACTCGTCAAGCGTGAAGTTGAGGACTTTCTTGCTGGTAATTTCACTCCAGTCTTGTTGAGGTCAGCTAGCATTTAGAAAAGATGGTTTGACATCCCCCTTTTCCTACTGAGATTTTCTCGCCACCAGCTCCCTCTCCTCCCACTCCCAATTCGAACAGCGCATGTGTGTTAACTGTATCGACACTCATGGTTAATCATACAGTCCTGACTTAACCACAGAAACGATGTTCAAGAAAGAAAAGAAAAAAACATTGGTGTTTTCATCTCTGGTATTATGAATGAGGTGATCAAAATAGATTCAAAATCCTTACCTTTCGTCCGCATGAGCTCTAAAAGCCCTCTCAGCTCTTCTCATTTTTTCCAACTCAATCTGCATCACAAGAATTCCAAATACATTTAATTTAGTAAATTTTCTCAGATATTTCGGTTTATAAAGAAACAGTTGTACTTCAGCTGCCAACGTGATGTTACAACAGCTTCTCCTCCAAAGAAATAACATTGGATGGACTGGACTTCCTTTGTCAGAAATACGTTAATAAAAATAGACAATGAAATGAAAATGTTGGTTGACTGTGGACTCTCTTCATTGAAAACTGCGAGTAAGAATGACACACTGTGGTCCAGTAAAGGTTCTGGTTACCCATTTCTTCCGAAACCCCTTAGCAGGACCAATTCATTGAGCTTTGCTTGATAGTAAAAAAGGAAAAAAAAAAAAAAAAAAGAGAAGTAGAGGGTTGTGTTGGTTACCTCTCTTGCTATGAGCTGCTTTATGGCATAAGTCAACTGTCTGTGCCGTGGTAATCCAGGAAATTTCACAGCTTCTTCTACGTTTCTGTAATACAAGAAAAAAAGTATTGCATGTTTTAACAGCGTAGAAGCACAATTGAAGAGGAAGTCAGAATCTTTATAACATTCACGGTCTCCTAGAGGTTGTGAAGGGAATTAACTGGGTAATATTCTACCCTGGGTTGAAGAAAATTGTTAACAGGAGGGCTACACACACAAATGGAGTAAAATTCAGTGTTAAGACTTCTTTACACAAATAACATAATCAGTTCTTATTAACCGAGCGGGAGGTCTGTATGGGAGAATCTTGACCGAGGTCGCCAGTACAGACCGAACGCAGTGAGGTCTGTACTAGCGACCGAGGTCAAGATTCTCCCATACAGACCGACCTAGCTCGGTTAATAAGATGTTTATTGTATGGCTGTGTCTTATATGCCAATTTTTCGTATTCTTTGTACCTTTTTTTTCTAGACCGGTCTAGATGTCGGCCTAGATGGGAAAATCTAGACCGCTTTCAATATTGATTTCAGCCAATCAAATTCGTGAATTCGGTAGTTCCCACTCCTTGTGAGACACAGCCATATAATAATGATAAAAAAGAACAGGTTCGCTTTTTTTATTCAGGAGAAAAAACCCGTCAAGCCCAAGATATGACTTCAATTAATTTGGCAATGAACATACAACGAACATTCAACATGAAAGGAGTTACACAGACACTTACGGATCCAAAACATAGGTGTATTGTCCATCGAAATTTCTCTCTTGGTGGAAAGTCAAATTGTAAGCTATCATGGTATTGATGAGCTCTGCTAATTGCTTTTTTTCACTTGCTGAAAACAGTTGAGTGTTTACCTAGAAAATGGACAACATGACTTAATAGATTTCTTGCGTAACTTGGTTGTATCAACTGAGTTGATAATGTTAATTGGCCACCATAGGCTGACGTTTCGTGGAGGCATGGTGGCCTCATGGTTAGTGTGCTCGACTCTGGATCGAATAGTCCGGGTTGTAGCCCCGGCCGGGACATTGTGTTGTGTTCTTAGGCAAGACACTTTACTCTCACAGTGCCTCTCTTCACCCAGGTGTATAAATGGGTACCGGCAATTTAATGATGGGGTTAACCCTGCGATGGACTAGCAACCCATACAGGGGGGAGTAGAAATACTCCTAGTCGCTTCATGCCACAGAAACCGGAGTTAAGCACCGGCCTGATGGGCCACTAGGCTCGTAGACAGACTTTACTAGGCTGACGTTTCGCGTGTTAACCCTTCGTCAGAGCATCTTCCTAATAAATCATCAACTCAGTCGATAAGACCGAATTGTCTCCGGTTATACCCTTCACTGAAGTAGCACCATAGTTTTCTTTAGAAACTTATCCACCTTATTCACTTTATCCATACATAAATCTTGAAATGATCACAATGAGTGAGAAGACCATTTCACAAACTGCACCCTCAAATGGCCCCAAAATTATTCATTGGTTAGGGGGGTGGGGGGTGGGGGGGATAGAGTAGGGTAGGGAAAACAGAAAAAAATATTTGGCTTAATCTTTTCTACTAACAAGTCTCAGAATGTTTTTTAGATTTTGAAAAAAATCCTTAAAAACAGAGCCATTCTCTCATTTTGACTCCATGAATGTCTAATAACTTTCCCCAATTTTTTTTTTTCTCTGAGCCGTTTGAAGAACCTAAATGAAAGCAATTTGGTACTCATTGATGGAAAAAGACAAGTAACCAATCACACAAGGGTCTTAGGGAGCGTCATTAATAGGGATAACCTCTCACATTTCCTTTTATGTTTTTTATAAATAATAAAAATCATGATTTGATTCTACGAGAAGTGAAAAATACATGTAAAAAGTACTTACTGGTCTCAATGTGGGAGTGATAACTTCCAACATGAATGGAAACAAGTCCAGACAGGCTGTTCGTAGACTGATGTTTTTTCTAATATGCGGAGATGATTCATTCTTGATAGCATTTACAAGGTTCTTGGTCTTAGTTTCGTTAAGGTGGCTCTGAAATTAAGTAATTAACAGGTCAATGTCTTGTTACTGCTGCATACTGGGATGATCTCGAGAGAATGGAATTGAAAAGCTTGTTCAAAAATTTTACAATCAAACAGCTATAATAATGGAACAGGTGTCTGTTCTTAAGACATTTGCTGGAACATTGAAGTGTTTTCGAAGAATTTACATTTACATCACATCAAGTGCATCTAACATAATGCAGCACATTATTAACCTTTCAACTCCCAATATCTGATTGTTAATTCTCTTCTCTGGCTGCTACACGTTTCCTTGTGAATTCATTACAAGTATTTGATGTTAGATCAAGATATCAACTTCAAGACATCAACCTGATAAGTTTGAGTATATTTTCTCATAAGCTGTCTGTTGGATAATGTATGAATATTTTATGGAGAAGTTACATGTTAATCACTTCTGAGAGTTACAGGATTGAACTCTTTCATTTTTAATCGAAACCCATAGCTATGTATTCTCTTTTCTCAAGGTTCAATACAACCAATTCTTTTACTTTACTTCTTAAAAGTTTCTTTCAACATGCATGCCTCAAAAAGACAAAATTTTTCAACTCTCACGATCTGATAGCCAACTCTCCCAACTAGTAACAAACATATGAAATACATATATATGAACTGCGGTTATGAAACGTATATGTGCACGATCCTTCGCAGTAAAGCACTATTTAAGCAATAGTGAAAATCAGACCTGAAAAAAATTCAGGCCTGTACGGGATTCGAACCACTGACCTCTGCGATACTAGTGCAGCGCTCTACGCAGTTCATATATATGTATTTCATATATATTTGTTGTTTGATGTATCATCTACGGGTTTATGTCGAATTAATTTGATGGCCTGCTCCCAGTTGGCTTGTTAGCTCAATTGGTAGAGCGCTGCACTAGTATCGCAGAGGTCAGTGGTTCGAATCCCGTACAGGCCTGGAATTTTTTTCAGGTCTGATTTTCACTATTGCTTAAATAGTGCTTTACTGCGAAGGATCGTGCACTTATACGTCTCCCAACTACTGTCAATAAAGTTTATTGGTACTAGATCCAACTGTTCATTAGTTGATAATTTTCTTTATTTTTGTTCTATCTTTATATAGGTAAAGTCTGTTTACGAGCCTAGTGGCCCAATAGGCCGGTGCTTAACTCCGGTTTCTGTAACATGAAGCGACTAGGAGTATTTCTACTCCCCTCTGGATGGGATGCCAGTCCATCGCAGGGTTACCCCCAGCATTAAATTGCTGGTACCCATTTATACACCTGGGTGAAGAGAGGCACTGTGAGAGTAAAGTGTCTTGCCTAAGAACACAACACAATGTACTGGCCGGGGCTCAAACCAGGACCACTCGATCCAGAGTCGAGCACACTAACCATGAGGCCACGGCGCCTCCATGTTCTATCTTTATAACCTTGTTTTAAAAATGTCAGGAGAATTTCAGTATCTATACTTTCAGGACTTTCAGGAGTGTAAAGGCTAGCGTATGGTCATAATCAATGCTACACAGTCTGCTGTTACCTCATATTGACTGCTGGGATAGCTGAGCTTTGAGTATGATTGACTTGCACAAAACAGATGAAATGCCACTGATACAAAAGGACTGTATCCCTGAAGAATATAACTCTGCTGCCCTATCACAGCTTGCTCAATGAAATCAGAGAATTCCAGCCACTCAGTTCCACAAACAACCTGTCAAAAGTAACAAAGAGCATTACTACTCCAACAGCATACTACACCTGTCTAACAAAAGAGACTTTAAGTCCAGTACTGAAGTCTAGCATGTAAGCCCTATGTCAACTGCATTCACCATAACTCTGGTAGCCAATCAGAGAAGTGTGAACAAATTGTGTAGACTTCTTGGAGTTATTTCATTAATTATTTAAAATGCCCCTCCAATATTGTCCCTTTCATCATTTATTTGGCCACAGTTGAAAAAGTCAGTAAGTCAAATTGTTTCACCTACCACTTCAAAGCTGGGGTCTTTAAATTTCACTTGCAAATAATTCTCAAACAGTCCTGAATAATCACCAAAAATAATCCCTGGTTACCAAGTTTGTCTGTTGTATATCCAGTAACTAATGTTTGGGAATTAGATGATATTACATACATACATAAACATACATACATAAATTTTATTAACGTGTCTTGAAATATCTAGCCAATGGGGTTAAGAACCCCTCTACTAATTGGGGACACAATTAATAACTTATCAACTATTTTCTATTACCAGGGATTATTTACATCATGTATACCAAAACGTCACACAAGGAATACAATAACTCCTCCAAAGCTCTCATTAGTTTGTCTGCCACAGTTAGAGACATCTACAATACCTCACAAGGACTTCACTCAGCATAGAATTTTACACTCTTTGACCAACCTTAGGGGGTATTATTCTAAATATCTGGTAGGGTAGAACCTACATTCATCAGGATGAGGGGAGACAAGAGTTCATTGCTTTCTAAGAGAAACACGTAGGGGGGAAGGGCAAAGGGAGAAAGGCTTCATATTGAAAACCTCCATGGGTCCACCCACCCTGATAGAAGGAATCCTACAGCAATCTACCTTGTGTCACTTTATCATACTGTCCATTTGACATAGCAGAATGAAGAACTGTGTGGAAACGACTTGCCAGTGATGTAATTCCTCTCTGCTCACCAACACTGCTGATATTTCCCTCTAACCCACCCCCTAAACTTTTGTGGTTTTCAGTGTCTGCAACATCTGCAAAACGACGACGTTTCGGTTTGGGAAGTTGGAAGATTTCTTGCCAGATTGAAAACAAACTGCGATGAGAATCCTTCAGACCAATGTCCATTGCCTGGACATGCTGTAATCCTACCCGTCCATGTCTTTTCTGAATGAACTGCAAAGAGAAGACATGAGCCTAACATGGTCTTGAATGGAAGAGAGGAAAGGGAAGTTAGGAGGTTGTGAGGTAATGCTGGGTGATAGCTGTGGGTGTTGTCCCTTTAGGAGGTGTAAAATAGGGATGTGGTACTCATGAGAGGGTTTTAACTACCTTTTCTACACCTAAGGCCCAGAAAAAAAATAATGGTTTTCCTCAGTAATTATACATATTGGTACAAATACAAAAAGGAGAAAAATAAAGCTTTCACTCACACACTCTTGTGCCCATGGTAAACTCAAGCATAATTTGAAAATTTTCACTCTTCTGGTTTGTTATTTTTTATGCAGGAACACTTCCACTTTGAGAGTAAAGGGCAAGACAGTGATATAATTATGTAACTTTGAGGCACAGTATAAGTCGTTTGAGTTGCATAGTACAAGCATAAATGCATTAACATCTTAACACTAAAATAAATATTTTATTGTTCTCCAGTTGGACTTTTTGCAAGTGTAAAACATTCCAAACAAGTTTCACTCTGGTGTTAACATCAGACTAAAACTGTTCGGAGAGTTTTACAATGCTTTCTCCAGAGAGCAGTCTTGGCTTTCATTTTTCACAATTCTTGGACTTGGGATGATTTAGTTACATGTAAAAAAATTCTTACAAAATATTTGCAGGTCAAACAAAAAATGTTTCATGTCTAACCTGGAGTGTGTTCAAACATGACCTGATGTCATTATCAGTTTTTTCACATAAAGATGTCAGTGTTGTCATGTCTGTGCTGACTGACTCTTGCCTTGATATCTATACACATGGAGAATATTCATTATTTTGGCATAAAACAAAATTCTTAAGTTTATTTTCTACTCTGTTTCATACACAAGGTCTGATTATGAGAAAAGTCAAGTCTACCAATCAAGTTAAGCTTGACCTCATCTTCTTTGCTTTACTTACAGAAACTCCTTGCCTTCTAGACAATAAAATGTGATGATGATGCATATGTATACAGTGTGTTTGTAAATTAATATGCCCTAACCAACAAGTAGATTCCATATTGCCATTCTTCTGTTCAGTTATACAGTAGATCACAGATGACGCCAAAATGTGCTAAGAATAAAAAAGTAGCACACGAGATGCAGCCTAGTACATAAATCTTATTAACCAAGCGCGAGGGCTGTACTGGGAGAATATCGGCCTGAAGTCTTGACAATACAGACCGAGCGCAGCGAGGTCCGTACCAAAAAAGACCGAGGGCCGATATTCTTCCAGTACGGTCCCGAGCAAGCTTGGTTAATAAGAGATTTATTATACGACTGAAGTTCAAAGGGACACAAGTGCGGTATCATTCAGGACCATTCAGGACAGTGCCCGAGAGAATATTGACGAATACTGAGAGAATATTGACCGGCAATAGAGCATTTTGATTGGTTGATTTTAGTTATTGGCCCTCTGACTGCCCGAGTCGTGTAATAAATCACTAATATTGTAATCACATTTTGCCATCTTTTACTGATCTATTACTGTGCAGACCCAAACATCTTCTATGCCTCTGTCCCCTAACAGATCTTAGTAAAAATTGATCAACACATAAATAATTTTAAATCTGTTTTCATTTCCTTGTAGTGTTATGAGATGTTAGTTACCAGGCTCCCAGCCTTTGTATATGGTGCTTCGTGTTGATGTAATAAATTAGTTGTTGTGCAGAACAGCCATCTTGGATTACATTCACTGGCTTGCAGGCGATTTTGAGAACATAACATGTAGTTTTCAAATAGGTCATGAATAACCTACTTGCACTAGCTAAAGCTGTGGGAGAGTTCATGCTATTCATTAACTCTTTTATTTCTTAAACATGTATATAAATTCCTAGGAAGATACAAGAAATAAGAAGCTACATGTAAGTAATAACCAACAGTCACCTCTCTTTCGGAATACTGATGGTGATCTGAGAGCAGCCAAATTAGTGTAAAACACTTGATAAAGTTCCTTTCATGTAATCAGACATGATTAGTGAGCAAAAATGTTTGAGGGCTCTTGATTCTAACAAGATCCTCAAAGATTTTTGAAGAATATCAATAAATTTCCACAAGGATTTCTTAAAGATGAATCTCATGAGTGACTGAGACTGAAACAGAATTCTCCTAACAATTAGTTGATCCAATTTCAAATTCTCCTCACTGAAATCATAATTGAGTGGGAGAGTGGATCCTAGGAGTGAGAATATATTCTACTATCCACAGGACTACTACACATAATTTATAGTAGCGCTGTGAGATCCTTCATCATTTTAGGATGAATCACAAAGACCTGGTAAAGAATATTGAAAAATCCTTACAATCCTTAAGCAGATAGTTAGTCAAAAGTTTTCTATCCAGGATTACCTCTAAAAGACGAGTGGCAAGGCGACTGGGAATAGTGGGTGGAAATGTTACCACAAAGGCCACTTGACGTAACTGACGTAAAGCAGGTGCATATCTATGGCAAAACAGAGATTTTATTCACACTAGGTGGATCAATCAGGGTTTAACTGTTGAAAGAAAAGTATAATTCATGAGCTTAACACCACTAACTGATAAGAGATCATTGATAAGAGGCGTATGCCCGAAAATTAATACACAGCGCTTTATGAACAACTTTGTAAATAGGTTGATATTTAAGCTCCATTTATTGCAATGACATACTTTTTAATTCATATTAAGTATATAGATTTCTACTGTAGTTTTTCCGAATTCACTGTAACATAAATGATATGTAGTTTTATCTTATGATGGAATAAAGACTTTATTATTATTATTTAGAGATGAGTCAGCTTATAGTAGAGAGGAATGATTCAGTCTTGAGAAACCTATCCTGACAAATCTCTCTACTAATGCTCTAGTTTAGAGGACTTGGGAACTGAGATCACCAGGTTCCAAAATTGCCAAGGCAGCTAAAAGAACTTGAGGGAAACCCTGAGCATGCTGGAAAATACAGATTACAGAAGGACTTGACCAATCAGAAATAATCTACTTATTTACTGCACAGTATACAGTCATTACTATGCCCAGAAAAACCTCTTTTAAGGAGCATGTGTTTTAAAAAGTAAAGGAGGCCCTGTATGGCCCACTTCCATGATCCAAAAGCTAAATCTGCTAAGGATGACTATATACCAGTATTTGTCAACTGGAAAATGAAAGTCTGGTGCTACATCTTGGAAAAACTCAAATTACTTAAAAATTCTCATTACCCCTACAACTGTCAGTGCACTGGAATAACATTTGATTGGAGAATAGTCCATTTTACAGTTGTGCTTGGTTGCCAAGCCTTTGAATGGGAGTGAGGCTAGGGTTGACCTTGTTATGATACAAACCTTGCTGCCTTTCAAATGTAAATCACTTTGTTATCATGCTAAGTCGATACAAGTCTCTATCACAACAAGGTCACCTTCAGCCTCACTCTGAATCAAAGGCTTGGCAACTAAGTACACAACTGTAAAATAGCCTATTATCATGCAACATTTCCAACCTAAATGGAGCTTTCCTCAAAAGCTGATTTCAGTGGTCTTTGAATGTTTTTGGGCAGATAAGTGGACCCTTATAATTTTTGTTGGATGCAATAAAGCATCTCTGCTTCGAGTCATTGTTAAATTTTCTTATGTAGTGTGAATGGAAAACATTTTATATGGTCTCCAGCGAAGGCATCAAGCCCTTGCTCCGAGGGCCTTGGACACAGACAAATATTGTTTAAGTATCTAGGTACAGCACAGATGTATCCAACTCTGTAACAGGGGTCCTACTTTATACAAGACATGTAAACCACACCGAAGAAGTTTTAATCCCAGTAAATCAGATTAAAAATTCTCGGTGAGGTCTACAATGCCTTTTTTGAGACCAAAATCCAGGCATCAGCTTCTCACTGTGATGTAAAGATAGCTATTAAAAGTATTCCTTGCTCAAGGTCATGATGTACAGACCTCACCACACTGGGTCCGTACCTCATGAGCGAGAGGCAATTACATTCCCCTCTAGCATGACCAAACTCAGCAAGTCAATAGGCATTTAATTAGACAACCACCAGGCGTTGAAAATTTCAACCTAAATAGGATTCAATACATGGGCAAATGCAGCCACACCAGTGCAAAAAAACTTCTACAATTAAAACTTTCCCTTTATTTTAAGTCAGAACAAGATACTCCCAAATTCTTGAAAAATGTGACAATTTTTCTCATTTCTGTTTTTCTTAAGTTTGTGCAACAAAGCAATGCAAGGGCAGCACGGCCACATGGCTTTTTCCAGACTGGTTCACATCAACCTGTCCTGCTCTGCACACTTCAACTTTCACTATCATGGTTTACTATGAGATTGCATGAGTGGGGCTGGATGGGTTGTATGATAATCTATCTTATTACCCTTGCTTCATTCCAGTTCTGAAAAATAAGCCTCCACAATTTCCAAGGAAGTTAAGGTTGAGAGAATCTTGTTTGCTGCAGGTTAAATCTAAGGAAAATGTTTGTTCAACTTACTGATCATTACAGATACATATAATTGGCCGTGACAATGGCCCAGTTTTCTTCTTCTTTTTCCCTTTTTGACTGGGATCAGTATCTGTAAAGATAAATACTTTACAATGACCTCTACCATGCTGAGTACATGTAAGTAGATAGATCAGTTGCTCAGTGAGTCTGTTACAGGAAGGTTACACCTTAAATGGATTACAAATGAATTGACTAAGCCCATCAAAACAGACTTGGGACACTTCTGAAAAATAAATGAAAATAACTCTAAAATACTACAACTTCAAGTAAATGATCCACGACACAAAACATGCTTCAGGTACAAAAACATATTAAGTGATACTATGAATCCTCCCAGGATAATTCATTGAGACAATTTGAATTTAACGGGCAGAAAACTTACAAAATTCTTTCTTGTTACAAGGATCTCATTTAAAGCTGAAGTAAGTAAAGTAAAAGACTACTTAAAACAAACTTGCTCCGTCAACTACACATAAGCTGATCTCCACAACTGACGCTGAATTTTTAATCTAAATATTGTAACTACATTTAAAACTTTATAAAAATATCTGTTGCAGCTAAACGCGCAATGTCTTCATTGCCGCGGTGATTTGGACCAGGAGGTTCCGGATGACCACGCTAGCGAGACTGTATTGATGTTTTTTTTTCTGAGAAAGGTTTTGAATTAAATGTAAGTTAAGTTTCCTAAGGTTAATAGTGTTCAAGGACTCCATTTCAATGGTTTAAAAGGACTATCGAAGGCGTTATATCACAGTTAAGACACAGATGTGAGTTTTTCCTATTTATTTCAGAGATTTGTTTCTTGTTTATCGCACATTCGTACTCGCTTTGTAATGTTAGGTTCTGTTGTTTTCTTGTAGTTTCCGTTACCACTCTATTTACCGCTTTATTCATCACTCTATTCATTGTTTCTATATACACTAACCACAAAGGAAGCCAACAAAAGTAACCATTGCTGTGCGTAAACGAACTCTGTGATTCTTTCAATAAACTAAGTTGTATGTTTTTATTGTACGACGTGTGGACAATTGAAAGGCATCAGTGTAGTAGCTCTGCTGCTACAATATCAAAAGAAATTAACAATCACATGAATCTAAGAAAATGAGAAAGTGCAAGTGTTAATTTTGGTTTTAAATAATGGTAATAATTCACAGAATCAAAAGTCAATGTTTATGGAGTCATAAAAGCAATGAGGGAAAAATGCCCTACTGTAAAAAAATAGCTAAGTACCTGAATCCTTTTGCTTGACAACTGATAACAAGACATTTACAGCTGGCTGTTGTAAGAGGTGCAGAGAACAATCTCATTTAACAGGTGAAAATACCAGATATCAATATTGAGTTTCATTTTGTATATAGGACTTTGCTAAAGTTAAAATATAAATATATACAACCATTTAATAAAATTAAATGTTATCAAGTGTTATTGACATCTTGGCCAATGCATTGGCCAACACATTGGTAGAATTGGATTCTTTACCTTTTCCCAAATATCTGTAAATAAGGCAAAGAAAGTACAGTAGAAAACTTGAGAATTCATACTTACTGCTGGTGCTCCATCAATTTCATCAATTACTAAACAATTTGGCTTTTCATTGACTCCAAGCACAGATTTCATCTGTGTAGATGCTTCAAGAGTATTCCTGAAAACTTCTGGGGAGCGATCATCACTAAAACAGAACAATTACACAAACTTTTTTCCATATATCCTCAAGCGTTGCTTGGTACATACTTTTAATCTTAAAGAGCCTTTCTCTGCCCAAGAACATAAATGGGTGTAAAAAAACCTGTCTGGGGAGTCTGTAAAATGCTGAGCAGAGGTGAGGAGGAGGGTTAACAAAAACGGACTAGTATAACTAAACCTTCCTGCCACCAAAACTTAGGGAAAGTGAAGTATACTATGCTTTTGGGGCAGTGAAGTACTATGCTTAAAGACTTATAAGTAACCACGTTCCTGAAACCTTCACACTACTGGTAGAGTTGGTACACTTTGGAGCTGTGAAAATTCCATGACTTATAGCAAGACTTATTGAAAAAATTTTACAACCTTAGCTTAGCAAGTGTACTGACTGGTTTATTCTAAATGGCACAAAAATTTGCATAAATGTCACATAAGATGCAGGGTAAACAAATGTGTCTGCAAAAGTAGATCTTGCAAAGTGCACTGACCTTTACTCATGCAGAAATTAAATCTTAATCTTGACTGAGTCTTATAGGTTCACTTTTCAACTTTGGATTTACATTAATGTTCTGCACTCATAGAAAGCTTGCTAATTTTCCATGACTTTCCATGATTTTCCACAAGCCAAACTTATAGATTTGACTGCCTTCCAGGCCTGGAAAACGAACTAAACAACTCCATGACTTTCTAGGTTTTCCAGGATGCATAAGAACACTGTACAGGTACATGTTAAATAGCATATCTATACTAAATTTTAAAAATGTAATTTAAGAGTGAGGGGCTGTTTTTCCCATAGTGTTCCCCTGAAAATTCACCAGATCAAAATACAGTGACCTCAGTTATCCCCCTCCAAATAAGTTCAGTGAGTAATGACAGAACATCAGTCAGGGTTCTTACACTTTTTCAGGCCAAAGACTCAAGGACTTTTCAAGGACTTTTCAAGGACTTTCCAGGACCCTACTTAGAAATTTCAAGGACTTTTTGTGATGACAATTTTACCTCAAAACCAAGAAAAATGTTTCTGTTAACATCTATGTTATGGGTTTACCGATGGTGCAAAACAAAAGCAGGTATTTTTCGATGTTGTTCAATAAAAAATTAAGGACTTTCAAGGCCTTGAAATCGGCCTCCTGAAATTCAAGGGTTTTCAAGGGTTTTCAAGGGTTTTCAAGGGTTTTCAAGACGCGTACAAACCCTGATCAATGCTTTCCATTTGCACTTAAGTTGCATAGCACTTGAATTGCTGGTTGCAACTACCTTACCTTGCATTCATCTCAACCACATTGTATCCTGCATGACGTGCAATGACATGAGACAGAGTTGTTTTGCCAAGTCCTGGAGGACCACATAACAATGCAACCTACATGTAAAATGCAAATCTGTTCTTTCTTTGATTGCCTCTTTAGAAAAGATTGTCACAGTTAGGTAACTGTTATCATTTGTCACATGGTAACTCAAGATGATTATAGAACGAGGCCAGCCAGTTAACACTCTAGCAGTCATTCCGGTCATCCTCGGTGTAAAAACCTGACGAGGTTTTCTTTGTTTCATGAGGTACTGTTTTGCTGTACGCTATTGTTTATAAACATTTTGTTGTCTTTGTTTTATGTCACTCATGAGCTTCACAGGTTTTTACACCGAGGATGAGCCAGTCATTCAGTAATAACAACCCCTACATTAATTATGCTATATTGAAAAACATTTAATAAGAAAAGGGGAAACAGACTGTTCTGATTATAGCACAGGTCTTCCATAGGTGAGATAATGAAATTACTACCTTATGAAACAATATTATTTTATATACATTTTCATACCTTATGGACAGGCCGACCAGAAGCATCAACTTGCTAAGAAAGAAAATAATTATGTTGTGAGCAAGAGTTTGTATCACCAACTGTGCTTTGACAAATTAAAATAAAAAAAAAAAAATTTAAATATCACACATATCCTTTATCAATACATAGCAAACTCTAACTGAAGAAAATAAAAAAAAAGGTTTTGCAGATATCAAAGCAAAAGCCCAAGCAATTGTGGATTACACTTCTTCAAAATGAACACATTTTGGTTCCAGTGAATTGTTAACAATTTTATCAGTTATTTTAACAATACATACAGAGAAGGTTAAAATTCATTTGGCATGGAATTTCTTGGGCTTTTATTAATCAATTTTGAGCTTGCATCAAGACATAGTAGTTAAAGCTGTTTGCAGTCAGTGGTCAACATCTGTCACTGCTTCTGCATCAAGAAAACTCTAAATTTCTTAAAGTGTCTATACAGCCAACAGGGTTTTTATAGTTTTGGTATGTATTTAACATGTAAAAAAAGTATTCTTAAATAAAAACTGGATTCTGACGAGTCTTCGCCCTGAAATCAAGCTTTAAACTTCCCACTTTGGCCACGCTCATTGAAGGTGACCATGAGTCGGGGCAAAAAAGAGATTGGGTTCAGAATGGGTCGTGACATCAAGTCAGGAATGTGCCAAATCCCGCCAGTGGTTCATTTCACTGTCTTTTTTTTTAAGTAAGGTAAAAAGTTTTTGGCGACATAAATATGCCCGATAGATGTGTTCCAAAAGTACTGTGTTTGTCAAGCAAAGTAACAACACGACAACAACAACAAGAACAACTTTATTCACCCTTATTCTTGGGAAGGTTAAATTAACATCAAATAAAATTAAAAATTAAGAGGGTGCTGGCTTCCTAAAATAACTAGAAGGTTAACAAGGCTAGGAAGCCAAATTAGATAGAATGAATTACAATATTAAGGTTAGGACACACACACACACACACACACACAGAATTAAACTAAAAACAATTATGAATAAACAAAATTTACAAGTCATGGGGAAAAAAAAAAGAAATATATATATGTATATATCATAAATGAAATCCTAAACAATTATAATAAAGGAAAAAAGCGTAGAGCAACAAATAAATCACAGTAATAGCTAGGAAAAAACTGATTACTCTGGTGAATGCAAAAAGCCGGGGTGACATTAACATTGGCATAGTAATTCCATTTTTAATTTTTTTTTTTTAATTTACTGAAAGTGGTTGACTTTGAATCTTGCCCAAGAGAGTTCCATACCTTTGGTCCTTGAAAGCAAATATTAAAAATTCCATAGTTTGTTCTACCTCGAGGCAGGTAATAAGATTGATTTGCTGCACTTCATGTATTGTAGTTATGGATACTAAGTACTTAATTAAAGAAGCCACCAAAATAGGAAGGTAATAACTTGTTATGACATTTATACATTAAATAGTGCAACATGAAATGTAACAAGATCAGAGAGCTTCATAATTACCACGCTCAAGACACTCAAGATGCTCCTGGAGTGATGTCACTCATCACCAATCTTTCCTTTTGTGGTCAACTTCATTGGGCATGGCCAAAGCGGGAACTTTAAAGCTCGATTTTAGGGTGAAGAGGCGTCAGAATCAATTTTTTTTTGAGAATACTTTTTTACAGGTTAAAGAGATGCCAAAACAATAAAAACCCTGTTGGCTATATAGACACTGTAATGAGAATCAATCCCAAATCAAACAATTTACAAAATTAAAATGATGCCATATCATTGAATGTTTTCCCCCGTGTAACAATATCATCATTGCAGGTACTCACATTCCAGTCAGCTTCATCTTGAATTCCT